GCATAAATCGGTTTTAGCTTTCCTGAGGACTGCCTGTCTCTGTCGTAGTCACCCCCCCATGCTTGTTTCTTTCCAGCGGTTCCTCAGTAACTAAATTTAACTCAGTCATGATATAAAAACAAAGTCAAGGGACTGATAAAATGTTCATATGAGTTGAAGTATTTTTTTTCAGAGATAAAATTAGTTGCAATGAAAGTTTGCTAGAAGCTATGAACATTATCTGTGTATTCAGATAACTTTAAAGTTTTAATTCACTTAGCTCTCAACATTTGTGCCAGGGAAGTCTAAATTTATTTATTCTTTTTTTTTTTTTTTTTTTTGAGAGAGTGATTTTTGCTACAGGGCATGTATGCTTGCCATACAGAGAGACAGAAGATGAGAAATTACCACCAAGAGGGGATGGCCATGCTGTAGTCCCTTCTCCTCCACTCTCTTCCTGGCATCTTGGACATGCATGCACATGCACCTGGCGTGACTTTCAAGTCACTGTGTCTGGGACCCAAACTATGGTCAACTACGTGGGAGTCCAGCAATGTAACTGCCATGCCATTTGCTGGTTCCTAGATTTATTTATTCTTTTAGTCTTTGAGCTTGAAAATTATACTTATGTTCATGGAACTTTTGTGCTTCTAGTGGGTATAGCAAGTCTTCTTCTTCTTCTTTTTTTTTTTTCTTTTTAAAATTTGCTAGAGAGTGAATGTGCTCACCTGAGAAATAGAGAGAGTGAGAAAGCACCTCCAAGGCAATGGGCATATCACAATCCTTTCTCATTCATTCTCCTCTCAGGATACACACAGGCTCAGCATATTTTTCAGGCTGCTGCATCTAGAATTCTGACGACATAGTCGGTCATGTGGCATCCAGCTGCCTTAACTACCACACTCTTGACTAGCCCTTAATTCTTTATTTTTGCTTGACAGAAATTACCTACCTTTGCGCCATCCCTCCAGAGCTCCCATAGGCCCTAGCAATGCCTTCTACTACCAGCTTACTGCAGCACCTCTGCAATCTCTGGTGGACGCTGCATTCATATTCTCTTTTCATCATCCAGTGATTTTCTCCAGTTCATAAAAGTCATAATGCCACGTGTATCTCTGTAACGTGAAGTATGAGGGCACTTTAAATTTTGTGGAAAATGGATTCAAGTATGATTTTATTTTTGTGCAAAATCCATGCACAGCTGTTTTCATACTATGCACATCCCATGATCTTTTTGAAGACCCCTCATTACCTTTCTCCTTGTTAGGAGCTCTCCAGTATTTGCTTAAAGCTTGAACTCCTTAGTGTCATTTAGAATCAATACAGATTGGCCTTCCATTGCCGTCTTCCAGGTACTGAGGAGGTGGGGCCTTGCAGGATGATAATAGGTTGTCACATCACCTATCATAGTGCCAGAAGAACTGTTCTTGTCTTTGAGGGTGTAAAAAAACATATTAGTACTTTGGACTTTATGTGAATGATCAGGCTCTACAGGACAAGTTCACACTGAGCAAACTCAAAGAGTGTCACAATGCTAGTGTATTTACTTAAAGTGAGAAACATCATACGAAAGTGACCAGAACCCTCTGTTGCCCACACAGGACCTCAGCTCCTCTCAGTAGTGCAGCAGGCCACCTAATTCCTGAAGTTTCAGACTCTGCCTACACCGTATTGGTCTGGACTCTGCATTTGGTTGTGGTTGCTTCTTAAGTTTCAGGTTTTTAAAGTATTCCCTGGTACAGACTGAACTTCATTCTGAATCTAGCGTCCATCAGTTCACATTTATGTCTTCTCATATAGAGCTGCTTTCTCAGATGTCTACCTTAAGGTATTAAATGCTGTATTTACTATCTTTTATTTCAGAGGGTGATCTTTTTCTGACTTTGTCCTGAAATGGTAGGGGTGCCCTACGGTAGGCTTCTCTATAATATCATTCCCTATATTCTAAACTGGGTGAACTGACGTTGCCTGATTCTCTCCCTCCTCCTCCAATGGTTTTGTTTCTTCCTCATGCTCTTTCCTCCATTTGGGTTGTTGAAAGCTCCATCTTGAATGTCATCCCTTTTTGATTTCTTAGACCTGATGTACTTTTTTTCCCCTTCGAACTCTGTTATGACATTGTCTTATTCTACCTTTCATTAAAGTTACTTGTTTTTATCTTCCTAGTAGAGCAGCTTACTTGCCTTGTTTCCCCACCCGCTCTACTTCCACTGGATTAGATACTCTTAGGATGGGTACTGGCAGTTTGTCCTTTAACCAGCTCTATGTTCTCAAGTTTGAGAGCTACCTCTTTATCAAGAGCTTGGTTTTCCATTAATAGAAAATTCAAAGATTATTAAATTATACTCAGTTGAGTCCTAGGGTGTCCTATATAGGTGCCTCACAGGTGGTGGGGAAGACCTATGGTTTCCTGTGTAGGTGCTTCAGAGGTGGTGGGGAAGAAGATTGGGCACCCAGATTCCCTACCTTTTTTTGGCTACAGCAGCTCTGCTTTGACCTTTTCTTTCTGACTAGTCCGCTATGAAATTTTCCTTGCAGAAGGAATTTCATTTCAAAGGAGTTTCAAAATTAATGATTTAAGTTGGAGGTTGGAAAACTACAGCCCATGAGCCATGGGCTGTTTTCTGAGTAAAGTTTTATTGAAACACAGCCATATCCATTCGCTCACATATTGCCTGTGGCTGCTTTCCTGGTCCTAAGGCAGTTGAGAAGTAGGAGTGGTGCCTATTTGAAACCCCCAAATATTTACCCTCTGGTCCTTTAAGAAAGAGTTTGCTGATCCCTGATCCAAATCAGAGTGCTTGGAAAAAACAAAACAAAACAAAAAACCATGAGTATTATAAGGCCATACACATTATAATAATGTATATCGTCATTTATATTATTTTATACCACATGCCATAACAATGTATCACAAGCCCATAAAGACTACTCCATGGGGAAAAAAACACTTCATGTTTTCTAATATTTCTTTTGCAGACAAAATAATGTGAATGTCAACAAGAGTGGACTTTGCTTATCTCATTTGCTTCTGAAATCCTAAATAAATATCAGGAAATTAAAGGATAGTCACACTAAAGAAGTTTTTTTATCACCTTTGACTTAAGAAAAGGAAAAAGTCTGAAATACTTAAATGTTTCCATTAAAAAGTTATAATGCAAGTTCTTTTCTTAAAAATTTTAATTTGGGGGGAAAACTGTTTAGCACTTTCATTATTTAAAGTAGATTTCAAGTGTTAAAATTTTTAATTTTGGGGGGAAACTTTTTAGCATTTTCATTATTTAAAATAGATTTCAAGTTTTTTTTATTTTTTTTTAGATCAGTTGCATAAACATTTTTCATAATTATTGAGTGTATGCGAAGTCTAAATTCAACATTTACTTTTGCTCACTGTCCAGGGACATGGTCACAATCCAATAATGGAAATGAAATATTATTATAATTCTTCATCTAGAGCTGCCCTGGGTTGTCAGTTTTTATTGTCTAGGTATCGCAACCAAAAATTGCACAACAGTCTTATTTATCATCTATTATATGAAATAGAGACTTCAGGAGGAAAGATCCTCCAGCCTTGCAGGGATGCTTCAGTGGTAGGTCATGTAAAAATCTGTGCAGATGGTCTAGACGCAATCTTGGAGAAAGAGTTTAAGCCTCAGACATTTTTGTCTCCTTGGGCATTATGAATTGTATGTTGGAAAGTAGACCCTGCACCTTCACTCACCACTAGCGCCATTAACCTGTGTTCGTAGTGGTCTTCAGCTGCTTCAGTGACCAGAGAGTCAAGTCCTTGAAATCATGACTTACATGCTTTTATTAACCACTTTAACTATTTCTAAGATTTCCAGTTAAATGGACTTACCATTCATGAATAATTTAGTTTCTTCTAGGACATGTAAGTTAATGAAACCTCAGCTAATGGCTTCGAGTATTGAGTGATGGTAAAAACTTGTTTCTAATTGTAATACTTCTGAAATTACTTGACAACTACTATAGTTACAGGAAATATGTAAGGAGGAGCTGAGGTCCTTCCAGCCTGCCTCCGTGGAAATGTTACCTTGTCAAATGGCTGAAAGTTGCTCCTCTAGTCTGTGTAATTTTTATGGAACATCAGAGTGTGTGTCAGTGGGGAAAGTTTGCATTGTGGAAACTTGTTTATTATCTGGAGTTTATATTTATCCATATATACCAATGATCTTTAAGTTGGGATGTACTATATACTTATTAGAAGTCTATTTTTACTGTAATATAAAATTTTCCCTTTTTTATACCTATTGTAAAGATACATTAGCTCAGAAGTGTATGTTCATAGTTTATAAATCAATGTGCTTATATTGGGCATTTTTATTATGAAGTTTTTAGTGAGAGATGTGTAGTCAGAAAAGTTAAAACCGTGGCTGTATATATTAGGTAATAAGTTTCATTAAGTAACTAAAATTTTTAATTAATTAATTTTTTATTTTTAAAATTTATTTTATACATTTAATCACTATACATCACTCAGCTTGTAAGTTGAATTTACTCCACCTGAATACACTTTATATCGGTCCTGTGGAGGATACATAATACAGTATCATAAACAGATAATAATCCATTTCTATGTCCCATAAATGTCCTGCTTCTCTATTTTCCTCCTTAATTTCTTTCTTTGCACTCTTCCCCTTTTCCCACCCTCTTCCCACACTGTCTCCTTTATCTATAACCATTTTCAGTCCTTCTAATAGTAACTAAGTTTTATATATGACTGTGCTTATTACTGCATTAGAAGCAAGGATGTATTTCAGTTCTTTGTTGTTGAGTTTTTTTAAATTTCATTCAAAAGGGTAAACTGTAAATAAGTTTATTCTTTTTTTTATAGTAGTTGATATCTTCTCATTTCCCCTTTAGCAATTTTCATGTGTTACAAGTAACTGTCTGGGTAGCTCAGCCAAACTTTTCTTTCAGTCACTAACTAACTCCTTTGTGTAAAGCATGCATGTTACCTTGTGGGCACTCAGATTGTTTGTCTGTTTGTTTCTTTTCAGCTCCAGGGGCCTTGTCAAAATTAACACATGGATTGAAAGATGAATCACTAGCTTATATCTATCATTGCCAAAATCATTATTTTTGTCCGATTGGCTTTGAAGCAACCCCTGTTAAAGCGAATAAAGCATTCAGGTAAGCGTTCATATATTTTGTACAGATACTTAACCAGGAAAAATGTGTTGTAGAAAGTGGTTTAAGAAATATTAAGACTTTAAAAAAATTTTTTTTTTTAGATTTTTGCCGTAGGGTGCATGTGCTTGCTGGAGAGAGAGTGAGGGAAACAGAGAGAGGCAAAGTGAGAAATCACCCCCCTAAGGGCGTTGGCCAAGCCAAAATCCCTTCTCCACTCTCCTCGCAGGATTCTGGGCACGCACGCACATGCACTGTGTGTGATCTTCAAGCTGCCATGTGGATTCAGCAACCCAATCTCTGAGCCACCTGCTAGCCTCTAGACATATTCCTCTAGACATATTCTCAGTTTCTTAGAAATCAAAAGGCTACGTGATCTACTTAGTTTCAAGTTAGACTGTGATTTAAACATTGTGCTGCTTTTATAGAACTGCATTTGGTAAATTGTGCTTTAACATGCCTTTTCAGGTACTGTTGTTTAGTCATAACAAGAGAAATCACTTGGAAGACCACTTTTATGTTTATTATAGAACAGGTGCAAAGGACTTTGCTATTATGTCGTGATGCCCTCAGGCAGTGTTCCACATGAATGATGTATTGCAGAACCTGGTGCCAAGAGGGTTGTCACAACTGAATAAATAAAATATCTTCCTTTCTCATAGTGAAAAACAGAATTTATTAATGTTCCCCCTTTGT